CAGGCGGGTCTCGAACCCGCAGGCTCAGGCAATCCACTCACCTCAGCCTCCCAAAGGCGTGGGATTACAGGCTGAGCCACTGAACCTGGCTTCAATTTTCTTGTCAGTTCAGTAGGGTTGATGAGGAGGCTGGCCCTTGGAAGCTCACCTTGGGGGCTTCAAGCATGACTCACAGGCAGAGAGAGGTAAAGGCCAGAGGAAAACTGAAATGCTAAGTTCTGAAGAATGCCTGTACGGGCAGCTCCATGATGCCTACAGCTGCCCCATGGAAAGTGTCTGGATTCCTCACCAGCCCAAACGGGCTAGTTGGAAGCTAAGGCAGAGGGAGAGGAAGTTGTCCCTCTCAGTTAGTCTCTTCTCTGGCTGCTTCTCAATGGGGACCCCCTCAATCACTGCACTCTTGGTCAACTCACCTTAAGGGCAGTCATCTCTCTTTTTCAAGAAACTGCCCTGACTGCCCTTTCCCTAGCCTCACCTCCCATCAGCCTCTCCTCCCTCCAGCCTCCCCACTTGAAGCCTCTCCATCAATTTCGCCTTCCTCACCCTCCTCCCTGGCAGCTTCTCTCTCAGGGCATTCAGTGTGGTGAGTGACAGCTTCTTCTCATGATCCAACCCCTGTGCCTTCCCATCCAGCTCTTAATTGTACATCAGAAATGAAACGTTTATGTGTATCATAAAAGTAACACTATGTCCATCATAAGGGTAAATTTTAAAAGGTAAAACAAAAAACATAACCAGCCATTAGTAAATATAATTTAAAAATTCTTTTAGTCCCCAATATTGTAGCAATCAGATACTTTCAGGAAGTTGCAAGACTTAGGGTGTTCTACTGTTCTCATTCTGATTTACATTCTAGCGGTGTTCTGACTCTCCTTTAAAACTGGTGCCATTATTTCAGTCTTCGGTGAATGTATAAAAATGCTGTCTAGCTCTTCGCCTCACCCTCCCATCCTCCAGCAATGGAAAGTCATAACTACAGTTGCATATCCTGGGATTGAATCCACTGCTGCTTTTTTGGGAGTGTTAGTCAGTTAGTCTTTTCTGAAAGAAAGTAGCTTTAGGAAATCGTTCTGGAAAGCAAATGTCAAGTTTGATCGCCAAGCCCACACATGGAGAGCACTTCACATTCTGTAGCAAATTCGAATACCCTCCTTCATTTGGCCAACCCATACTCTCCAAACCTCCGCACCAACACATAGACACACCAAGAGAAATATTGAGCAGTGTTACCATCTGGTGGGTTTAATTTAACAAACATAGATTTCTTTTTCATTCTGAAAAACGTTGCCCTCAAGGAAACTTGCTCATCTGAAGAATAAATGTGCATCTCGGCCTCAGAATTAAAAAGCAAAGAGATTTAACAGTATAATTGGTTTCTTCCACTTCCAGTGTCTGCCTCCAAATTTTTCATTTACCATTTAATTCAGTTCAGTAACTATTTACTGAGTGTCTACTGTGTATTGGGCACAGGGGATGCAGCCACTAAGCGGGATGAACCCAATGCCTGCCCTCTGTCTGGTGTATACTTGACATTGACCACAGGACTGGGTGAAACCAGCCTCTTGACACCTAGGCCTCCCACCATATTTTCAAGCAGAACCTCTGCGAATCCCTCTTAGGGCACCCATACATCATAAACAACTCAAGGAATGAGAGACCCATCACTGAATTCCCACTGCCCAGCACAGTGCCTCATGCATACTCCACACTCATTAAATATTCACTCGATGGCTGGATGGATGTGAGTTGTCATAAAAAGAAAAACTTGGCCAGGCACAGTGGCTCATGCCTATAATCCTAGCACTTTGAGAGGCTGAGATGAGACAGTTACTTGAGGCCAGGTATTCGAGACCAGCCTGGACAACATAGAAAGGCCCCTGCCCCCGTCTCTACAAAAACTAAAAAAGTTGACCAGGCACAGGTGGTATGCACCTGTAGTCCTGGATGCTCAGGAGGCTGAGACTGGAGGATCTGTTGAGCCCAGGAGTTCAAGGCTGCAGTGAGTTAGGATCACACCACTGTACTCCAGCCGGAATGACAGTGTGAGACCTTGCCTCTAAAAGAAAAGAAAAGAAAAGAAAAGCCTGCTTAGCTGGATGTGCATAGTCTATGTAGCCATGGAACTATCATGCAAATAAATATTACCTTTTACTCTGCCACTCCTGCACAGTATTTGCCTAATTCTTCTTCCATCATAGCAGGGCACTAGAGCCTGAGAACTGTTGCGGCGGGAGAAGGTGGATTTGTACCTGTGTGCCTTTTTGCTAAATATGTCTTACAGAAAGAAAATGCTCATCTAATGCCCGAATCACTTTCTTGTTATTTAAGTTCGCTTCCTTCTCCCACGACTCCCCTCTCTGTGAATATCTGCAAAATAGAGTGCATATTCATGGAGTTTGAAAAGTACAGGCTACTCAGAGAAATAAACCGGTCACAAAACGACAAACACTGCATGATTCCATTTACAGAAGCACCTAGAGTTGTCCAATGAGACAGAGAAAATAGAATGGTGGCTGCCAGGGGTTGGGGAGATGGGAGGATGGGGAGCTATTGTTTAAAGGGTACAGGATTTCAGTTTTGTGAAGGAAAAGTTTTCCTGGAGATCGGTTGTACAACGATGTGAATGTACTTAACACTACTGAGCCGTACACTTAACAGTGGTTAAGATGACACAGCTCATGTGATGTGGATTTTACCATAATTTTTTAAAATGTAGATTTGTTTTGTTTGATGCACTCTTCATGTGTGTTAATATTTCACAATTTTAATGTGAAACAAAACAAAACACTTGGTTGCATTGTTCTCTAAAGACAGTGACGCTTTCTCCCCTATTGAACAGACTTCTTACTTCAAAAACTCATTGCTCATTAAATATAAATATAGACCTCTTACCAGTTTAATTTAAAGAGATATATTTTGAAACCCAGGAAATAGACCTTTCTTCAGACTTAATGTTCATTTGAAGAATTCTTTGGGGTTTAGCACAGTGCTAAACATTTTGTTGTCTGGATAAATTGATTTTTTAAAAAAAGGTTCAGGCATGTCCTTCTGGTTGTGTTCTGGGATTCATTCCACTAGCTAAGTTTGCTATAGAACTTCCCCTTCATTCCCCAGTGCAGAAAGGAAATTGTACAAGAAAACTATTAACAGCTGGAATTTAATGGTTTTAAAAAGTTCCCAGAGAAATAGGCCCGGGTACAGTGGCTCATGCTTGTGATCCCAACATTTTGGGAGGCTAAAGTGGGAGGATCGCTTGAGTCCAGAAGTTTGACACCAGCCTGGGCGCATAGTGAATCCCTGTTTCTACACACACACACAAAAGTTCCCAAAGAAATAGGTCGTTTAACCAGTACGTATGTGAATTTATTTATTTGGGGGCTTGCTCCCCACCCTCTCTCCTAGATCTGAGGTTCCGAGAAACACTAAGCTCGGCTGTTATTCCCCATTGTCTGTGTCTCCCACAGGTCACGGTTTGCCGTGGACATACAGACGGCATCCTCCAGAGGGCTGGTGTTCTTCGCTGGCACTGAGAACGCCTCCATGGCACTTTACCTTTCAAAAGGCCGTCTTGTCTTTGCACTGCGGATAAATGGGAAAAAACTGAGGCTCAAGAGCAAGGAGAAATGCAACGACAGGAAGTGGCACACGGTAAGAGCCAGAGCTGTAGCAGTCCCTCCCATGGGTGCAGACTTCCCTGTTGAGGAGCTGGAAATAGGAGTCCGAGCGTCCTTCCCAGGCACAAAGGCACCATGGGAGCTTGTGTGGTTGCAGGCCCCGAGCGCCCAGCATTTTGGTACTGGAGGGTGCAGCACACGCCATGCACAGATGCCACACTCTGTGCTGAGATGGGCTTCACTGATGTCTTCATCAGTCTCTTCCAGACCTCCCTGGGTGGCCTTGTACTCCTTGCCTCCTCCCACCGTTTTGCTCTCCTTCAGGGCCAATTTTCAGGCCTCCAGGCCCCTTATGTCTTCCCCATAGAACAAGTTCAAAGATCCACAGTCATCCCGCGCCTTTGGGAGGCTGAGGTGAGTGGATTGCCTGAGTCTGCGGGTTCGAGACCCGCCTGGGCAGCGAGACCTCATCTCTACAATAAATCAAAAAATCAGCCGGGCGTGGTAGCGCATGCCTGTAATTCCGGCTACTCGGAAGGCTGAGGCGGAAGGATCGCCGGAGCCCAGCAGGCGAGGCTGTGGTGGCCGGGAGCGGCCACTGCACTCCAGTCTGGGCGACTGAGTGAGACTCCAACTCAAAAAATAAATAAATAAAGATCCACAGTCTTAGCATTCCAGCTCTTGCCTGAAGGCATGCCAGGTTTAAAGAATTACAGTGTAGGCCAGGCATGGTGGCTCATGCCTGTCATCCCAGCACTTTGGGAGGCCAAGGTGTGAGGACTGCTTGAGCCCAGGGTTCGAGATCAGCCTAGGCAACATAGGGAGACCCTGACTCTACAAAAAATAAAAACTTAGCCAGGAGTGGTTGTGCATGCCTGTAGTCCCAGCTACTCGGGAGGCTGAGGTAGAAGTATTGCCTGAACCCAGGAGGTCAAGGCTACCTCCACTGCACTGCATCATGCCACTGCACCAGCCTGAGTGACAGAGTGAGATCCTGATTCAAAAAAAAGAAAGAAAAGAAAAAGAAAGAAATGCAGTTTAAGGCAAGAAGGGGCCTATTTATTTTTTCTAATGAGGGAAGTAGAACTCTGAACAACTTAAGGGACTTGACAAGTTGTATTCACTTAGTCATTCAACAAATATGTAATGAGCTGCCCTTATAGAACATATAGGTAAAAAATCCTCAATATAATATAGATATCAGCAAGTGCTTTAAGAAAACACTAGAGCCGGGTACAGTGGCTCAAGCCTGTAATCCCAGCACTTTGGGAGACCAAGATGAAAGGATTGCCTGAGCTCAGGGGTTCAAGACCAGCCTGGACAACTTGGTGAGACCTCGTCTCTACAATAAATCAAAAAATAAGCCGATGTGGTAACATGCACCTGTAGTTCCAGCTACTTGGAAGGCTGAGGCAGAAGGGTCACCTAAGCCCAGCAGATCGAGGCCGTGGTGGCCATGAGTGTGCTACTGCACTCCAGTCTGGTGACAGAGTGAGACTCCAACTCAAAAATAAAAAAATAAAAAAAACAAAAACAGAAAACACTAGAGCAAAGTAAGAAAATGACAGAGAGAGAGACTATTTTAGGCAAGGTAGTCAAGACCTTGACCAATCATGCGAAGTGAGAGGGAAGGGATTCCCAGCAAAGGGAACAGCAAATACAAAGACCTCCAGGTGGGAATTCGCTGAGGGAACAAAACACAAAGTGAGAAGAAATGGGATTAGAGAGGAAGCAGGACCCAGACCTCTGAAGTTTTGAAAGCCAAGCTAAGGACTTTGGATTTTATTCCAAAGTGTCTCTGAAGCTTTCAAAGAGTCTTCAACTCATTCATGAACAGGTTTATATATCTCTTTAACTCTCTTTAGCGGAAGAGACACCCAGGGGTTAAGAGCAGAAGCAGGGAGCCCAGATGGATGCTACTGCCTTGGCCTGGAATGGCAGTGGGGGGAGGTGGGGAGAGGTGACTGTCTGAAGGTGGATCCAAAAGGGCTTGCTGGTGGATTGCATGTAGAGTGAGAGAAAAAGGGAGGGGCTCACATTGTGTCCTGTGATTTGGGGCCAGCAGTTCAGTCCTCAGAGGGACACTTACAGAGAATGGAGAAGATGGAGAGGAGGTGGATGTGGCCAGGGAGAGAGCAGCTCAGAGCAAGGGCAAATGAAGACTTCTGTCTAGAACATCTCAGGGTTGAGTGGCCTTTCTGACATTCAAGCCCTCATGTTAGTAGACAGTAGGCTCGAGGTCACAGCTAGGCATATAGGTTGGAAAGGCATCCGTGAAGAATCTCAGCCATGAGATGGCAGAATCCACATTAGAGCCCAGGGATCCTAAGTTCCAGCAAAGAAATGAAACACTTGCTCCTCTTGTTAGAAGAGAAAGATCATACGGGGAGACACCCCTTATCAACAAGGGTGCCTGAACGAAACATATTTGCATACCTAATCCTTAACTGTACCCCACAATAATAAAATAAAAAATATTGTTTAAAAAGAAAAGCCAGGCTAGGTGGCTCAGCCTGTAATCCCACGCCTTTGGGAGGCTGAGGTGAGTGGATTGCCTGAGCCCGAGGGTTCGAGACCGCCTGGGCAGCGAGACCTCATCTCTACAATAAATCAAAAATCAGCCGGGCGTGGTAGCACGTGCCTGTAATTCCGGCTACTCAGAAGGCTGAGGCGGAAGGATCGCCGGAGCCTAGCAGGTCAAGGCTGCGGTGGCCGGGAGCGGCCACTGCACTCCAGTCTGGGTGACAGAGTGAGACTCCAATTCAAAAAAAAAAAAGAAAGAAAAGAAAAGAAAAGAAAGAGCGTCTTTCCATGAGCTCCAGGAGCCCTGCTCAAGACCCTGTGACTACACCGTCCCCCTCGCCCACAGCCTGGCACTAGACAAGTGATTCCTTCCTCTTTGTGTATGTGCCTTTAGCTGTTTCTCTTTTGTTTAAGTTTCCAGGTCAATTGTATCTTTTGATGAGTCCACTTTTAAGCAATCCTTTTTTTTAATTTAGCTCCCCCCTTTTTAGCTCAGTTTGTTCAGTATCTAACATACTCTCACAAAATGATGGTGATGATAGCAACAGGAGAAAAGTCACTCATGTTTTAAAGCTGTTTGCAGGAACAGATAGACTTTTTAAAAAATTTGACCACTAATAAAATGCAGCGCCAATTGTCAATAGTAAAAATATGATTCACTTTTTCTTTTCTCTGAAGGTGACATTTGGACATGACGGAGGAAAGGGGCACTTGGTTGTAGATGGACTGAGGGCCCGGGAGGGAAGTTTGCCTGGAAATTCCACTGTCAGCATCAGAGCACTGATTCACCTGGGATCATCTCCATCAGGGAAACCAAAGGTAAATACTTATGCTTCAGAGCCACAGATAAAATAATTCCCTCATATTATAATCATAGTTATATAAGATATATTTATTTATTTATTTTTCGAGTTGGAATCTCACTCTGTCGCCCAGACTGGAGTGCTGGGTTCCAGCGATCCTTCCGCCTCAGCCTTCCAAGTAGCTGGAACTACAGGTGCACACTACCATGCCCGGCTAATTTTTTTGATTTGTTGTAGAGATGGGTCTTGCCAAGTTGCCCAGGAGGGTCTCGAACCCGTGGGTTCAGGCAATTCACTCACCTCGGCCTCTCAAAGCACAGGATTACAGACTGAGCCACCGAGCCCAGCCATGAGATATACTTTAAACGATTTTAAAATTTCTAATGAATATTCACAATCCTCCAGAGAAGATGTCCATCCTCACTCCCAGGCCTTTGCTTTTCTCATTTGTTTGTTTGTTTGTTTGTTTGCCATCTGCACATGGTCTTTATTCCTGGTGTTTCTCTAACCCGAGTGGGGGTTTGGGAGTTTCATCTTGGGGTAAGTTTTCTTTTGGCCAATCCCCTTCTGCCACCGACTGCAAAGTAGCCACCAGACTGGCCGTGGCAACTCCGCCCCCATTGGTGATGCCCTCTGCAGATATTATCTTGGCTGCCATGGAGGCGGTGGCAATTCCTGCCCCAGTGAAGGCCAGGGCACCAAGTACCACGGGCACAGCCCCCACCGCCAGGGCTCCTCCGTCTGCAGCTGCCTGTTCTAGAGAGTGAAAGAGAAAGAGATGGAAAAGAGAGAGAGAGACAGAGATAGAGAGACAGGGAGAGGGAGACAGACAGGGAAGAGACAGACAGAGGGAAAAGAGAGAACAAGAGAATAGAGAAAAAGAATGAGAAAGAGTCAGCCTTTGTTTTTAAGGTGCAGGTTGAGACATATCCCCTGAAGGGGTGAGTATATGGCTTCTTCATGGCTTCATGAATATATACTCCCAAACATAAATCTCTTAGCTTCCCCTGCAGGGAATGCAAAACCCAGGTTCTAGGTTGTAGACAGAGATTTTTGATTAAGACGATGTGTTCCAGAAGGCAGTTATTTGTGCTGCCTCTGCCATCTTTGCCAGACCCAAGGAAAACGTTGACTTTATGGTTTGTTCTCCATCAAACTCGCTATTTAATTTAAATGTGCTTTTACAGGATCTTTTTTCTCTCATAAATGGAAATCATGTATCCTTTAACATAAATCGTAGATAGCCATGAAAAATAAACACATGAAAATGAAACTGTGTTCTTTAAGACTAGCTAGGTAGCATGGCCTATATGACCTTCATTTAAAGAAAAAGTGCTTGACAAATGATCAAGAGGTGCTTAAATCATACTAGCACAAAGTATGCTAGTATGCCTTAAGCACCTCTTGATCATTTGTCAAGCACTTTTTAAAATTTGTCCCTTGCCCTGAGAAGAAAGCTAGAAAGAAAGATGTAAAGGGAGTAGCTTAATAACTGAATATGTGTGTTAATGTTATCTGGTGTCCGAAATGACAAAATTTTCTTAAGAACCAAACTTGGGGAGCTGGACTAAGGGAAAGTCATGACTGTTCTTGTCCCCAAGGAGGAGGGGTGTGTCCCTGGATGTGTCAAGTTCAAAGGCTCTGATGGGGCCACAGTCTCAGAGCTCTGTGAGTGTCCTCTCCCTTTGTCTCTCCTACCACACCGCCAGAGCGTTCGTTGCACCTGGGTTACTTGGGACAGCCTCGTGCACCTGGCTTTCTTCTCCTGGATTGGCCTTTTTCTCCCACAAAGTTAAGTAAAACGATTCTGTCAACACTCAGGCCTAGGAACTGTCTTCCACCTAAATGCAAAGTTGACTCCTTTCCTCCAGACCTGGAGGTACATTCTGGTGAGAGATCTGCTTGCAGTGGGAGAGAATGGGGCACAGGCTCAAATCTGGGCCTGGAAATGGACATAATTACCACAGATCTTCTCCACCAGCTTGGATTCTAGGTGCTCAGGCTGACCCTGCCTCAGTCTGGTCTCTCCATAGTGCTCAGCCTGGCCCACTTGAGTTTTGCCTAGGGTTTGGGCCAAAGTCCTAGCAGGTAATAAAGTATTATTTTACTTTATTATCTATAGGAACTTTTATAATACTAGGTTAATAGTATATAACATCTATTATGTGTAATAGATGTTATATATATATATAATGCACAAGCTATTAATTGCTAAGAAGAATCTGTGTTGTTCATGTTTGCTTTTCCTCAAACTGTATCTATTTTCATCTCAGGGAAATCACAGGATGGGGCACAATTTGGGTATTCTTTTGTCTTGGATAAATTTTCTTAAAATCGCCTTCATAACACCCAGTATCCGAATATCTAGGGCAATTAGGAGCACCCCATTTACAATATTCTTTACAAGCTGAGGTTCTTTTCACAGCCCTTCTTCTAGCCGAGGGCATGAACCATCCTATTAGCCCTCACATTTCCAAGGGCTGGCCGCATCCAATCAAACAGTGTCTGCTTCTGAACACCAGAACTGCAGTCAGCCTTTAGGGATTCACTGTTGGATTATGGCCCAGGCTGAAGCATCTGAGCTGGTTTCAGTTACCTATATAGTGTGACAAATCTGAAGAAATTAAAATTTTCATAGGGATCCCAATCTGTAGGTACCACATCCATCAATAACATCACCATTTTCTCTTAAAAGTACCAATCTTAATGTCCTGTAGGATTCCAGAGTCCTGAAAGCATTAATCCTAAAAGGGAGCTTAGAGATTTTATTTAGTGAGTCTTAAGCTTTTTTAAGAATTTTATGAAATTTATAGTTCTCTCTGGAAAAATGCACATACAGAAAGCATCTGGTATATAATATGGAAGATTACAGAACTCCAGAAACCTGTTCCTGGACCCTAGGAGAGGAATCCTTCTTCCAGGTCGACTCTAGCCAGGCATAGGGCACCACATACAAGCCCATTGGCAATGCACACTGTATCTTATTTTAACTCTACAGTGTTCGTGACTTGGTGTTGGTCCACTGAGCCCAGCAATATAGGAAGATTTTTCTGCACTTTATTATTTTTGGAACATTTTGGCCTCTTTTTTCCTATCATACCACCCTGCCTTAAGCTATCATACCACCCTGCCTTAAGCTATCATACCACCTCATGGAACACTAAGAAGGGGTTTGTACCTGCAAAGAGATGGTGAGATCTGAAATCCATAAAGTGGAAAAGTCCCCTGCTGCAGCTCTGTCTATAAGGTCCAGGGTCAGGTCTGTTCTTGTTCCAGCACAAGTAGCAATGTGCGCCACCCTGCCCTCCTGTATATATACTGCTTGGTTTGGTGGAATCTTTAAACTTCGACCACCCACCCAACATTTGGTATACAGGTTTTTCTTGGCACTGTGGGCAGAAAGCCAAGCAAAACAGTCAAGCCCACTGGTATCTGTGAGGCAGGAAGAATGAATCCCCCTTTTGCTGACAAGCTGAATTGCCCTTATCTTGACTACCCAAACATTTCTGGGAGTTGTAGGTAATGAACTTGATCTTTTCTGCTTGTTTGCAGAACCTACCCCCAAACAGCTTTGTGGGATGCTTGAAGAACTTTCAGCTGGATTTAAAGCCCTTGGATACCCCTTCTGCAAGTTTTGGGGTATCATCCTGCTTGGGGGGCTCTTTGGAGAAAGGCATTTATTTCTCTCAAGAAGGAGGTCATGTCGTCCTGGGTAAGGAGTTTGGTGGAATTTATATTTCTGAGTCTTAAGAATTCTATCCTTTTTTATTTTTGAGTAGGGGGGTCTTACTCTGTCACCTAGGCTGGAGTGTAGTGGCACAATCACGGCTTACCACAACCTCGACCTTGTAGGCTCAGGCAATCTTTCCGCCTCAGCCTCTTGAGTAGCTGGGTCTACAGGCACGTGCCACCATGCCTGCCTAATTGTTTTACTTTTTGTAGAGACAAGGTCTCACTATGTTGTCTAAGCTGGTCTCAAACTCCTAGGCTCAAACAATCATTCCACCTGGGCCTTCCAAAGTGCTGGGATTATAGGTGTGAGCCACTGTACCTACCCTCTTTTTCTTGAATTATGATGCTTAACTGTTTTGACTTTTTTTTTCTTTTGAAAGCTAACTCTGTGTTGCTGGGGCCAGAATTTAAGCTTGTTTTCAGCATTCGCCCAAGAAGTCTCACTGGAATTCTAATACACATTGGAAATCAACCTGGGCGGCACTTATGTGTTTATATGGAAGCAGGAAAGGTGTGTAACAGTCTGATGGCGTGGAAAGGGTATATGGAAACCAGATTCCATTTCTGGAGACCATAGTAGGTGATGTCTACAGTACAGAATGAAATCCACTCTTCTATTTAAAAGCCCTGACTTGGGCAACCCCCTCAGGCCCCCTCCCACTGTGGGAGCTTTTCTGTTCTCTCAATAAACCTTACATTAAAAAAATAAAAAAGGGAAACCCCTGACTTTAGGGCTAACTTACCATTGTCCTTTAGCTAGCAATTTGACCTTCATGTTTTCTGTTCTTCATCTTTAAAATTGGGAAAACTCAACTAAGTTGGGCTGATTTTCAGCTCCAACGCTTCATCATATGGCCCTAGGAAGTGACTTCAACTCTTTCAGACGCAGCTTCCTTATCTGTAAAGTGTGTCTAATAATTGTCATAATGTGGGGCTTCTGTCAGGATTATAGTAATTGCCATATATTCAATAAATGTTCACTTTTCCCTCCTTCCTTTCACCCTTATCACTTCTCTACCTTTTATTCATAAAAATAATGCCAGAATTAATGAGCTAGATTTCCCCCTGGCTGTCTACACCATGTCACACCCATGCCTTGGCTCTATGCTTGCTGAATCTGTTTTGGATCCTCCTTAATTCTTTCTGCACGATTCCCCAGGACTCCTGGTCCTCCAGCCATGCTGGTCTCTGGGCCTCTACACTGGCTTCCTTTGGCTCTTCATGGAGTCCTTCTTCAATGTGTGTTCTGGTGCCTCATTCATACCATCCCTTACTGGCTGAGTCGATCTCTTCAACTACTCAACTCTATCTCTTTCTTTAAGTAATCTCTTTTAAACCAAAATCTCTTGGGAGACTCTGAGTTAAGACCTCAAGTCGAAGATTGATAATGTACCATTTCTTACTATCCTTCCACAGCTTATTAAATGTGAGGAGAGGAAGTCCCAGGTGAAAATAAAATGGCCAGAACTCCTAGAACACTTTTTTTCAAGTTTTAATCTTTAGTTAAGTCTGAATAGATCTCTAGTAGCCCAGAAAAGCAAGCAACTATCCACTTGCAAAGTGATTAAGATGATTCTGGCTTTTCAGAGGAGGGACTGGAAGTCTCCAGTGAGCATCTCTGGGTAGGAATTATTCTCCAGAAAATAAAATCAAGAGCTGATGACCTTTATAGCAGCAGTGGCATCGCTGAGCTTGAAAATTGCCTGTGACTAGGCTGTACCATTCAGCTACATGCAAATTAAATGTAAATTATTTATAAGTGTGCTTATTTTAGTCCTCTCATTTCATTCACTTTGATTCATCCCTTGGAAGAGGCTGGAAGAGACCTTGACCTAGAAAGTGGGAATGCGAGAGTCTGCACAAAACGGGCTGAGTGTCTGACCCGACCACATGTCTGATACAGACACAATCAGTTAGCTCATTTAATATTTTGGACAAGAACCCCTCTATAAGTAATACATTCATGGAATTCTTGTAATTGGCTGGAACTTGCAGAAGGGAATAGGCCCCCACCAGCATTACTGCTTCCCCCTTTCACATGTTTTTTCTCAACAGAGACACGTGTTAATTGCCAAGGAGGATCTTTGATGTTACTCAGTAACATTTGAGTAGGGCTATTGAGTCCAGGGTTGGGATTCAGAGGGAACAGCTCATTGACATTGGCAGTGACTTCAGGCCAGGCCCTGGTGTGCAGCTTGCCTGCCTAGAAAGGATACAGCAGAGGGATCTTCAGAAGCCTTGGACCCCGTGTGATCATTTGGTGCAGGAGTATAGGGAACTCATATCCAACATGATTCTAGGCTTTCATGGTAGACAGGGCTGGGAGGGAAGGTGGCAGGGGAAGTTTGGCTCCTCCTGCCTTTCTGAAGGAAATAGGAAAATGCGTGTGTGTTCCAGGTCACAGCCTCTGTGGACAGCGGGGCAGGTGGGACCTCGACATCGGTCACACCAAAGCAGTCTCTGTGTGATGGGCAGTGGCACTTGGTGGCAGGTATGACATCCAGTAGCCTATTGTTCATGCGCTGAAATGGACTCCCTTTCTACCTTGACCTGAATGTCCCAAAGGTAGCCTCAGTCCACCAATCCACAGCGACCAACAGGGGCCAGTCTCCCAGGTTAACAAGTCTATCCTCAACCCAACCCTGCTTCTATAATTCATGCTGCTGCCCCCAGTTCTACATAACGTACTGAGTGTTTGTCGTTGATTTTTTGTTTCTGGAGCCTAGCAAACTGATAAGCTATGCTGGTGTTCAAGAAAGTAGAACTTGTGATTTAGATGTTGTTTCTGAAGTCAGAAAGAACAGACATCAAATCTTAGTTCCACCCCTTACCCTGTGCAACCCTCGGCAAGTTGCCTAATTGCTCTTTAGCTTTGGTTTCCTCATCTGTAAAATGGAAACAAAATGGTGTATATCTCCAAGGGTTGTGAAGACTATTATGGAGCAGTGTGTGTAAAGTGCTGCATACAGTGTCTAAGGCATAGTAGGTATTTAGTGTCTGCTCTACTATCATATTGTTCAAGTTCATTGTTGGGCTACCATTTAATGTTAATGCAAACTATTTAGACATATAAATGAGAGGAGAACAAGCATTTCTTCTCAAATAGAATCTGTTACTTTATTAACACTTGTGGATATTAGTTTAGAGATATATGAACCTACATTGGCTAAAATGCCTTTTGTGAAACGTGATCTTTTCTTGACTAATTTGAAAGGTAACTACATTGCAATTAGCTATTGTTAACATGGGAGGAATTTTATGTTGAGGTTCAAAAGTGCTGTTTTGGTATCAGTCCATTTTAGCATCAGTTTTCAGAAGTCAGTGTCTTCTTAGAAAGTAGCAGAGATGGCATAAATTCAGCATGGCCTCTGGATGCAGGAGACCAGAGTTTGAATCCCAACTCTTTATAACCAAACCATCCTGCCAAGCTCCTCAGTAGTCACCTCCTCTTAGCTGGGAAATCAGAATCATCTTTTTTCGCTCACAGATTCATGTTAAAGGTTAAATTTGTTATGAATGTGGAAGCACCTAAACACTGCTTGGTGATCAAAAGAAGTTAGTTGAATTTAAATCTGGGCTGAGCAAATTCCTGCAAACAGTGCTCCCAAAGGCACAGTAGGAAGGAGTTTAAACGAAGTCAGTATTGATGCAATCGTGTAGAAGTTAAGCAGTGAGCTGGGTTCACCTCAGGTGACAGACTTAACCAGTTTCCTTTCCCCCAGTCACCATAAAACAACACATCCTGCACCTGGAACTGGACACAGACAGCAGCTACACAGCTGGACAGCTCCTCTTTCCACCTGTCAGTACTCAAGAGCCACTACACCTCGGCGGTGTCCCAGGTAACTTTTGTCCTAACTTCTACACCGTGTCGCCCCATGTCAGCCCTGAACATTTTCTTCTTAACCCCACAAATGTGATGCTCTGGCCTGTGGGTTAGTAGCAGGGCAGCCCTTGGCTGGACAGTGGAGATGGTGAGGCCCTTTGCTCAGCATGCGGGGAACAGCACTTGCTAGTGATGGGCACATGTCAGGGCAGCCCAGGCCACATTGCTGCTGCTTCTCCTTGTCCCATAATTTATAAACCTCTTGTAAAAAGTCACTTTAACCTAGAAACCTGATATCAGCAAAGAATCAGGAAATGGACATTTAGTTTTACTGGTTATTAAGCTTTTGGGAGCCAGAATGGGAGAATCAGGCAGGTTGAGGTGGAGTCAAGTTCAAGACTGGTATTTTGCCTGGAAAGAGCCTTTCGTTTTTCATTGTGTTACATCCCTCCAAGCATACTGTAGTCTGGTTGTTAATTTTATAGGTCTTTCATGACCCATAAAAAGCACAAGAGTTCAGAGTTATTATCTATTGATTTGGGCAGTGAAATCTCCTCTGAAGAACTTGAAGAGCAGCCTCGTGGCTGAATTATCACAGCAGGTGGAGTGCCAGATGCCTGCTTGAAGTGGAAGAGATGGCTGGGTGGGCTGAAACACAGGGTCCCTTTAGCGGTCCCCAAGAAGACTATCATTTAAAACTCAGGGTGTATTCATTACACAGTGTGATTATCCATTGAATGCCTCTCTCTTTTCTCTCTCAGCCAATTTGACGACGCTGATGCTTCCTGTGTGGAAATCATATTTTGGCTGTCTGAAGAATATTCAAGTCAATCACATCCCTGTCCCTGTCACCGAAGCCATTGAAGTCCAGGGTCCTGTCAGTCTGAATGGCTGTCCCGACCACTAACCCAAAACTATTCCACACCAAGGAAATTCACCTTCAAAAGCACTGATTACCCAATGCACCTCCCTCCCCACTCGAGATCATTCTTGACTCAAGACTCCATCCAGATGGATTTAATAGCAAATCTCATTATGAATTCCAACCACAGATACTTTTCATTTTGGCATTCAGTGCTTCATATGTATTTTATGTAAAGATCCCATTTCTTGAAGAAGATAAATTGTTATTCAAATATACACAAACTGTTTTTTGGTAATATTAATTGCCACTAAAAATTACATGTCTTTTTAAAGACATTATTTTCCACTTGACAAAAAAAATTAAATACATTTTAAAGCACTTCAAGAATATGACACTTTTATATGTGTTAAAGGGTTATAATTTATGGGGTTAAATAAATTTAGTGTACTCTTTAAATTATGTTTTATTAGCATAAAGTCAGTGGCTCAGTGGTCATTGATTGTTAATGGTATTCATTCTTCAGCACCTGTTCAATTGTGCTACCTACAGCAGTCTTCTACAAATAACTACTGAGCATATACTGACGAAGTTCTGTGTGTGCTCAGTGTTGGAACTACAGTGACTTATAATTCCTGCCCTTAAGGAAAATGCATTCCAATTGGGGAGACAAAAAATATGCATAGAATAGTAACTAACTGAACTGATGAACTCATTTATTGAAAGTCCACTGGCTTCCCAGTCCGAACCTTCCCCAGTCTGCTACCTACCAAGTGTAGATTATAATGATCAATTCCTTGAGGGACCAAGCTCACTATCTAGTAGGGTAACTGAGATGGATATAACTGAAACTTCGTATAACAAGCTAACAGAAGTCGATGGGAAGGAAGAATCACTTCTTGTTTTATCTACAAAAAAAATGAAAGAAATTCTAGACCAATACTATTAGCCATCATCACTTTCCCTAGCAAAGATGACTACTACAAGCATTTCTGTGTTTTTTACATGTATTTGTTCATCAGAAGAAAAATAACAATTAATTCTTTAAAAAATGGATATAGTAATCCTGTGTGATATTCTTATAGCTACATCCCCTCCATCTCTGAAACTATGTCACGTTCCCTTCAACCCAATGTTCTTTTATGACTGCAGTCTAACAGTCATAGCTATACAGAATTGTGGTATTCTTTTGGAGAGATAGCAAGGTCCCCATCACGAAGAATTCGAGAAACTCGGTGGTGATCTATAGGGAGGCTTGTGGGTTGGAAGTTGAATTGCACGACTAAGTCATGTGCCTTCTGAAAATATTGGTTTTAAAATGGAAACATCATCAGACAATTACCACCCGGGAATTGAGTCTGCATGAGAACCATCTATTTTAACAACTGTCTTTGGTGGATCTGCACTGAACCAATGATTCTCTCTTCTGGGTACCCAGAGTTAAATCACTGAATCTAAAAGTTATTCATTAGTGCTGATTATTTGTTAGCATCCTAGGTTCATTACAAAGGGGCAGTTAATTCCTCACTGACTAGTACCAGTGGTTTTTCCTCCATTTTGTAATAGCTTTAAAAACAGCCGCCCATCTGCTTAAGCTGAATATAATTTCAGCCACCAAAAAGCAGCAGAGTCACACATGAAATTACAGTTGAGGAAACAGAAAACCTTCAGGGTGGCTATTCTCAGACTGTAAGCATGTGTTCTCTGAAAAGAATGACTATACATCCTCAACCAAACAGTCATGGAAATTATTTGTAAACTGTCAAGTATCATTTAAATATTATCACTGTTAGCTTCTTCTTAGCTCATAGGGTCACACGCATTGGGCTGATTTTGCAAGGAGAGGCTAGGCAAGAACAGCAGAATCACTGGGAAGCCACTCTGATCAGTTCACTATGGGTCCACCATCAGTTCCATTTTCGTCCAGTGGATTGGGATCTGGAAACAGCTCATCTCCCCAGGACAGCAGTCACAGGGACTCCAGCAATTGTGTGTTTTTATGGGTCTGCCTTCTTTAGCATCTCTCAGGGCAGTTGTTTTTGTTTTGTTTTGTTTCTTTTTCTTCTTTATTTCAATAGCTTCAGGGGGCACACATAGTTTTTGGTTTACATGGTTGCATTGCATAGTGGTGAAGAAGTCTGGGCTTCAAGTGTACCCACCACTCCCACCTGAGTCTGCAATGTCTATTACACCATTCTCTATGATTTTGTAGATCCTTAGTTTAGCTCCCACTTAAAACTGAGGACATGCAGCATGTGGTTTTTTGTTCCTGCATTAGTTCATTTAGGAAGATGTTCTTCAGTTCCATCCAAGTTGCTGCAAAAGACATGATTTTATTATTTTTGATGGCTAATTAGTATTCCACGGTGTACATATATGCCACGTTTCCATTATCCACCGATCATTGATGGGCATTTAGGTTGATTCCGCATCTTTGCAATTGGGAATTGTGCTGCAATGAGTGTGAGAGTGCAGGTGTCTTTTTCATATAACCACCTCGTTCCTCTGGGTAGATACCTAGTAGTGCAATTGCTGGATGAAATGATAGATCTACTTTTAGTTCTTTGAGAAATTTCCATACCGATTTCCACAGAGGTTGTACTAACTTATACTCTTACCAGCAGTGTATGAGTGTTTTCTTTCACTGCATCCTTGTCAGTATCTATTGTTCTTTGATTTTTTTTAATAATGGCTATTCTGACTGGTATAAGGTGGTATCTCATTGTGGTTTTAATTTGCATTTCCCTGATGATGAGTGCAGTTGAATTTTTTTCATATGTTAGTTGGCCATTTGTATATCTTCCTTTGAGAGATGTCTGTTTATGTCATTTGCACACTTTTTAATAGGGTCATTTGCTTTTTTTTTCTGATTTGAGTTCTTTGTGGATTCTGGATATGAGTTCCTTGTCAGATGTATAGTTTGCAAATATCTTCTCGCATTCTGTGGGTTGCCTATTTGCTCTGTTGATTGTTTCTCTCACTGTGCAAATGCTTTCTAGTTTAATTAAGATCTGCTTATTTATTTTTATATTTCACTTGCTTTGGGGATTTTTGCCATAATTTCTTTGCTTAGGCCAATGTCCAGAAGAATTTTTCCTAGGTTTTTGTCTAAGTTTTTTGTGGTTTCAGGTCTGAGATTTAAGTCTTTAACCCATCTTGAGTTAATTTTTGTATATGGTGAGAAGTAGGAATCAAGTTTTATTTTTCTGCATGCAGCTATCCAATTTTCTCAGCACCATTTTATATGGGTGTCCTTTCCCCAGTTGCTTGTAGGTATTTGGGTTTATTTCTGGATTCTCTATTCTGTTCCATTGGTCCATTTGTCTGTACTTTTACCAGTACCATTCAGTTTTGGTTACGATAGCCTTGTAGTATAATTTGAAGTCAGGTAATATGATGCTTCCAGCTTTGTTCTTTTTGTTTAGGATTGCTTTGACTAGTCTGGCCCTTTTTTGGGGGTCTATTTGAATTTTAGGATTTTTTTTCTGATTCTGTGAAAAATGATGTTGATGGTTTCACAGGGATTGCATCGAATGTGTAGATTACTTTGGGTAATATGGTCATTTTTAACAATGCTAATTCTTCCAATCCACGAGCATGGGATAATTCTCCTTTTGTTTGTGTCTTCTACAATTTCTGTCATCAGTGTTTTGTAGTTCTCCTTATAGAAAACTTTCACTTTTTTTTTTTTTGAGTTGGAGTCTCACTCTGTCGCCCAGACTGGAGTGCAGTGGCATGCTCCTGGCCACCACAGCCTCAACCTGCTGGGCTCCGGTGATCTTTCTGCCCCAGCCTTCTAAGTAGCTGGAACTACAGGCGTGCACTACCATGCCTGGCTAATTTTTTATTTTATTGTAGAGACAAGGTCTTGCCAAGTTGCCCAGGTAGGTCTCAAATCACTCGCCTTGGTATCCCAAAGTGCTGGGATTACAGGCTGAGCCACCAAGACCAGCTTAAAAACTTTCACCTTTTTGGCTAAATATATTTTGTGACTTCTACTGTAAATGGAATTGAGTTCTAGATTTGATTCTTAGCTTGGCCATATTCATATATAGTGGTGCTACTGATTTGTGTCTGTAAATTTTGTAACATGAAACTTTACCAAATTCATTTATGAAGTCCTGGAATCTTGGGGGAGTCTTTAGGGTTCTCTAGGTATAAGACCATATCATCCATATACAGAGGTAGGTTAATTTCTTCTTTTCCAATTTGGATATACTTGATTTCTTTTTCTTGCCTGATTATCTGACTAGGACTTCTAGTACTATGTTGAATAGGAGTGGCAAAGGTGGGCGTTCTTGCCTTGTTCCTCTTCTGAGGGGGATGAGTTTAACTTTTCTCCATTCAGGATGACATTGGCTGTGGGTTTGTTATACATGGCTTTTATTATTTTGAGGAAAGTTTCTTCTGTGCCTATTTTGCTGAGTTTTTTTTTTATCATGAAGGGATGGTGGATTTTCTCAAATGCTTTTTCTGTATCTATTGAAATGATCATATGATTTTTGCTTTTAATTATATTTATGTGGAGGGTCACATTTATTGACTTGCATGCGTTGAACCATCCTTGCATCCCTGAGATAAAACCCACTTGACTGCAGTGAATTTTTTTTTTAATGTGCTGTTGAATTCATTTTGCTAATATTTTGTTGAGGATTTTCACATTCATGTTCAACAGGGATATTGGTCTATAGTTTTCTTGTTGTGTCTTTTCCTGGCTTTGGTGTCAGGGTGATACTGGAATGAGTTAGGGAGAATCCCCTCCTCTTCAATCTTATGGAATAACTTCAGTAAAATTGGTACCATTGCCAAGTATAGTGGCTCATGCCTATAATCCCAGCACTTTGGGAGACAGAGGCAAGAGGACTGCCTGAGCCCACAGATTCAAGACCAGCCTGGGCAACTTGGAGAGAACTTGTCTCGACAATAAAAGAAAAAAATTAGCTAGGCATGGTGGCACACACCATGTAGTTTCAGCTACTTGGAAGGCTGGGGCAGAAGGATCACCTAAGCCCAGCAGATTGAGGCTGTGGTGGCCGTGAGCATGCCACTATACTCCAGCCTGGGTGACAGAGTGAGACTCCTACTCAAAAAAAAAAAATTGATACCATATCTTCTTTGAAAATCTGATAGAATTTGGTTGTGAGTCTGTCACATCCTGGACTTTTTTTGGGGGGAGATTTTGATTACTGTTTTAATCTCATTACTCATTATTGGTCTGTTCAGGATTTTTGTTTCTTCCTGATTTAAGTTTGGGAGATCATATGTTTCCAAGAATTTATCCATTTCTTCTAGATTGTCTAGTTTGTTTGCATAGAGGTATTTATAAAATAATCTCAGATGATCTTTTGAATTTCCATCATATCAATTGTAATGTCTTCCTTTTTTAAAATGTATTTTTTTGAGTCAGAGTCTCACTCTGTTACCCAGGCTGGAGTGCAGTAGCACACTTACAGTCACCA